TGCCTGTTCGGGATTTTAATGAGGCCGAGAGAGGAAATCTTCTCAAAGTGCTGAGTATTGAAGCAGTGATTGAAATTTCCAGATTTTTTATGACTGTGAAGTCATTTTTCGGCTTTTCTAATCGGTAACATTGTTCAGGGTGGATTTATTAACAAAGCCCACGATTGGAGCTGTCGGCGATCCATCGCTACTGGTAATTTTGCAGGGCAGCGTGAATGAGAATCCAGTAAGTGACCGAAATATAATTAAGCAGTTTTTAAGACCGTACAGCTGTGAATATGCATGAAAATTAATAGAAATCTTACTTCATGATAACAAAAATGATTAATCATCAGTCTGTTCACAGCATAAACTAATTACTGTGAAATATGGCACATTTTTAAGCACTTTCATTTATCAGAACAAAAACGATTTTTGAAAACCAATGCCTTTGCAGTGCGGCCGCAAAATGACTTTTACGAAAGGTTTTCTGTTCTAGCAGCAGTCATAGGTAATCTTTTCGGTCACTTATTCGTCAGTTTCATCCCTTTTTCTTCTTCATGCCTTCTCCTATATACTGGCATTTTTTATCTTTTTTTTATCTTTTTTATTTTTGGTAACGGGCTAAGTTATCACTGTAAATACCTCGAACAACCATCTCCTTCTCGTTGCGCACTTCACACCGTCAAAGTAATGAGCAGTAGTTCCGCTGTGTCGCTATGACCAGAAGTCCTTAGCTTACCAGTGATTCTGATGTACGCTTCTTTTTTTTTTTTGTTGATACTGTTGTGGAAATCAACGATTCGTCGATAATAGGTCACGGTACTTCATTTATAAATATCATGAATTAAAAAGTCAAATTAAATTGTCGAATTGATATGAAATTGGCAAAAGCTTGTTTTGATTAGCGGCTGAATTTGTGCATATAATTTCTTAACACGCATAATTTACTGCATTAAAAAAGATGGTTCTATTCGTTTTATTTGTCCAGAAAATGGATTTTGCTGTTTAGTGGCCATCGCACACGTTATTTTGTATGTTGGAATTGGAAAAGTACTATTCGGTATGCTGCATCGATTCGGAGAACTCTATCAACCTATGGGAATTTGATGAGATTTCTCGGGATCATTCTCAAAACAAAGTGCTACTTCAACAGCCCAAACTGCGAACAAGTATGGAGGAGCAGTGGCAGATGATCAAGCATTCACCACCACCCATTTGTGATTTCAAGGTATTTACAAACATGCGTATACGTGAAAGCCAGGATTTTTGAAGAGAAACTTCTACTAGATGCAGAGATAAGTTGCTCTAACGTTTCTTCAAATTCATATCTTAACATTAAAATGAGAATATTCCATGTTACCAATTTCTGTCCAGAAACTTTTATGTACTTTTCAGGATGATTGTGAGATCACCGCAACACTGTAT